CCCCCCTTGATGCTGACAATTCCGCAGTCCCGCAAACAAAGTTCATTACATTACCGTATATTAAAGGCGTGTCGGAGCAAATCTCTAGAACATTAAAACGAGAAAACCTTAATGTGAGTTATAAACCGTTTGACATGCACCCTACGCAAACATTTCCCAAAGCCAAAGGACCGAATTGACCGAGACCAAACAAGATCTGTGGTTTATAGCATTGACTGTCAAGATTGTGATTTTGTTTACGTTGGCCAAACAGATAGAGCTCTGAAAACTCGAATCAAAGAGCACAAAAACGCGGTGAAAAACGACGATGAATATTCTAAAATAGCGCAACACACAAACACCCACCTTCACAAAATGGATTTTGAAAATACCAAAATTGTCGATCGTGAACTAGACCATGACAAAAGGTTGTTCCTTGAAGCGTGGCATTCTCTAAGACAAGCCAATGCGGGAAATGATCACAATGACATTCCTGAGATTTACAATTGCCTTGTATAGTTCAATACCAGTTAACGTAATAATTGTGTTCGTTAAGACATTACTGAGATTATATTGTTTTCAGTTTTAACAATTAACATACTTTAGTACGGTCCTAATGACACTCCGGATATTTATTTTTATCTTGAACAAATTAGTAGCAATTTAGCATAATTGTTTGTAACCTATATAATATAGACGTAGTTTCATCGTTTTAGTTGAACCGACGAAGGTCTTAGTTGTTTGACCGAAACGTCTTCCGATATTTTAATATTTTTAAAATAAATTTTTAACCAGTTTCAACCGTCCAAGCTTTACTTTTAGCTTCCAAAAGATGTCTTCCACTGGTTGCAATTTTAACATTTTTCGAAATATATATATATATATATATATATATATATATATATATATATATATATAATATAGTCATCCACCGTATATGAGCTGTTCTGCAATCTGATTGGTTGAATTACTCGCCGTATATCAGCTCATAGCGAAAAACAAGATGGCGGTCCAAAAACTACATGAATTTTGCGAAGCAGAAAAAAGGAAAATATTCGCTTTGAGAAAGATAATAGTACAAGGAAAAACTCTCCAAAAAATTTAACAGGTTAGCAAAATACATTTATTACATAGAAATTAGTTTAAATACAAGTTTTTTAAAGAATTAATACCGAAAGTAACAACAGCGAAAAAAACATGTTCATTGAGAATATAAATTGTTCAGAAAAGTTTGCAACGAAAGACAAGTGAATTTGCAGTCAACAAGCACTTACTATACCACCTTTTCTGTAATTAAGATATACCGCGGTTCTAAAACCATTTCTTTCACTTCGTCTTCGAGTTGTAAAACAAAAGTATTTCAAATTTTCAAGGTCAAGCGGTTTTTTGCCGAGTTTGCAAAGAAAGACAAGTGAATTTGCAGTCAACAAGCACTTACTATACCACCTTTTCTTTTAGATATACTGTTCTAAAACCATTTCTTTCACTTCGTCTTCGAGTTGTAAAACAAAAGTATTTCAAATTTTCAAGGTCAAGCGGTTTTTTGCCGAACAAATTGTCAAGACATTGTAACAGAGGATAATTAATTATTGCTTCAGTTAATGGCTATTAGACTATATTATAAAACTATATATATATATTTAACAATTATACCATTCGTTCTCGTCGTATATGGCTGATAGCTATCAGCTCATATACGACTCGAGCTCATGGTATAATTGTTAAATATATATATATATATATATATATATATATATATATATATATATATATATATATATATATATATAATATATATATATATATATATATATATATATAATATATATATAATATAACGAATAGTTGAACTGAATTCTATGCATTTTTCAGTTGTGCACTCTCGCTCGTGTAGATATCTATCGAAATATCTTAAAATGCATAGAATTCAGTTCAACTGTTCGTTAAAGAATATCGGTTTACCAACGAAAGATCATTACCGCAAACGTTTGATTGAAAAAGCCGAAAGCGTTGTTCAGCGCATGAGATGGAAAGCCCATTTCTTTTTGGGAAATAACGAAGTCACAAGTTCAGAGAACAATTACGGATTACCATCAAAGAATTATGCTCCACTAGTCAGAGAGATGAAGGCATTCGAGGACGACCTTGTCAAATTAACATCAAATATTCGTTTCAGAAACGTGGCCGATCCATTTCTAAACAAAGTGCAGGAAGATATAAAAAACATCAATTCATCCCAAAAAGTCGTTATTTTCGCTGATAAATCTACTAATGTTTACGAAACCTCTCCAGAAAATTATAAAAAAACACTTACGGACAATATTTCAAAAAGTTACAAGCTCAGTGGAAATGATTGCGTTACTGACACTATCAACCAAGAACTAAAAGACATAACTAACAGTCTTTCTATCGGAAATCGAATTGATATCATGGCTGAAAGAAATGCTTATATAACACTGAAGGATCACAAAGAAAACTTTCAAAACAACCCCAAATTTCGTCTCATTAATCCTGCAAACAGCGAGCTGGGAAAAGTCAGCAAAGTTATTCTTGACAATATTAACAATCGCATTAAATCTTCCATCAACGTGAATCAATGGAAAAATTCCTATTCTGTCATCGATTGGTTCAAATCTGTTAATAATAAACCTAACCACATGTTTCTGTCATTTGACATTGTTGATTTTTATCCTTCAATCACCGAAGAGCTCCTGGATAAAGTTATTAGCTGAGCTAAAACCATTACATCAATCTCTGATGATCATGTAGCTGTCATCAAACACGCACGCAAATCCTTACTTTTCCACCAAAATAAAACGTGGGTTAAAAGAAATAACGATACAATGTTCGATGTTACAATGGGTAGCTATGATGGAGCAGAGATTTGCGAACTAGTCGGATTATTCATCTTAAGTAAACTTGAGGCGAAGTTCGGAAAGAACCAAGTTGGTTTGTACAGAGATGATAGCCATGGGTTGGCAATTTTGAAAGCTAGACGAGCCAGATCAGCAGATAAAGCGAGGAAAGAACTACACGCTATCTTTAATAATATTGGCTTCAAGATAACAGCAGAGGTGAACCATCATGTTGTTAACTTCCTCGACCTTACTTTGGACTTGAAAAACGAAACATTTTCACCTTACAGGAAACCAAACAACGACCCTCTCTACGTCGACAATAGATCTAACCACCCACCCTCTATCATCAACCATATCCCTTCCTCAATCAGCAAACGCATCTCCTCGCTCTCCTCCGATCAAGCATCCTTTGATTCTACTGCACCATTCTACGAAGATGCGCTTAAGCGCAGCAACTACGATGTACCTCTGCAATACTCGGCCTGTGATAATTCCTCCAGTTTGCCATCTACCAACCGAAGACGTCGTAGAAACATCATTTGGTTTAATCCACCCTTCAGCAAGACAGTTCGAACTAACATCGGTCGAAATTTCCTACAGTTAATTGATAAACATTTCCCTTCTACCAACCCGCTCCATAAGGTCTTTAACCGCAACACAGTCAAAGTTAGCTACTCCTGCATGGAGAATATCAAAACCATAATATCCCGACATAACCATCGCCTGTTAAAGAAAAACCCTACACAAAAACCTGTCCCATGCAACTGCCAAAAACCAGATGAATGCCCACTAGACGGAAAGTGCAAAGTAGACAACATTGTCTATAAAGCCACGGTGACAACTGATGACGGAAATACAAAAGAGCATATTGGAATGACGGCCAATTCATTCAAAGAAAGATACGCCAACCACAAAACGTCATTCAACCTCTACAACCACTCGTCTGACACAAAGCTTTCGAAGTACATTTGGAGTCTGAAGCAAAGTAGAAGAACTTACAGCATCAAGTGGTCCATCTTGAAACGAGCTGCTGCGTACACGCCTGGTGGAAAGCGTCGCCCCATGTGAGGTAATCCAGGAGGTATTTGGATTCCGGATCCCACTGCTTGGATTCCGGATCCTACTCCTCAACCTCGTACCCAGGATCTTTCTTTGGGAGACCCTGGGAACGAGGTTGCCTACTCCTTGGATTCCGGATTCCACATCTTGGATTCCGGATTCTGAAACTGTAGTGGATTCCGGATTCCAATTTATTATTTTGTGTATTGCAAAGCCAATAAATACACTTGTGCATCCCAATGCATCTATTATACGTACTGTTTAATAAACGAGCAGGAGTGTTTCATTAGGTTTAAAGATACGAGCGCGCATCGCGAGTGGCTTTAGACCTAATAAAACACGACCTGCGAGTTTATTAAACGGCTTCAAACACGACTATACGTACAAATTCAATAGATATACCGCCTTATTAGTATTCTTTATATAAAAAATACTAATGAGGACACGACAACAATAGATACTGCCTTATAGACACTTCCCGAATTTGCTTGAGTGCACACGAAACAATAGCTTGGAATCGAGGCGGACAATGTAATCCATTGGAAAACTATACTTATTTCCAATGGATTACATTGTCCGCCTCGATTCCAAGCTATTGTTTCGTGTGCACTCAAGCAAATTCGGGAAGTGTCTATTAGTATTCTTTATATAAAGAATACTAATTAGGAGTGTTTTATCAGGTTTAAAGCCACTGCACGTGACATGTTATAGTTGACATGATTTGCCAATAAGCTTATGAATTATTAATGAGTATTTGAATGCATATATTATCAAACAAGTTTTGATAATAAAGTATAAATAGCTTCAAATAAGTACATGAAAATTATATATTGATACACTATAGTGCAACCAACACTGTTTATGTTTCGCGGCAAGGCCCTCTTCAAAACCTTTCTAAAAATTGCGAAAGAAAAACAATTTTTAACTTCTAGAAATCTCGAGCTGGGTTCTTATTTCACCTATTGTTCTGGTAAAATCAGTACATAACAAAATTACAATGAATACATTTTTTCTGCAATAAAATTACGAGTACTGAGTAGATGATTGTTTCGATTCGCTATATATAAACGAAGAAATTAAATATATGTCGAGTAGATAGCTTAGCCTAACAATAAATGAGATAAATATACTGTTTAGTCTATATGTCCCCCACCCTATATGTAGACTACCAAACTTTATTATGATCCAGAAAATGTCAGTGTCACAGCTTTGCTACTCAGTTATTATTCTTCACCACTAATACTGCATTTGTAACAGAAATCTACTCAAAACTGTGTAACGGAACATCCTCTAAGTGGTGTTGTAACAATCCTGTGTACAAATTAACAATTTTTTCTATGTCACGTATTTGCGATGAAAAGTGTTCAAAACCGAAAATCTTTTTGGCGTACGTCTCAAAATTGCGTTGTTTTAGGCCATGGAAAAAATTTCCCGGTTTATCATCAGCGCCCGCATCCATTTTTCGAGCCGCATGAATTTTTAAAAATTTTTATTTTTAAAAAATCACTAATTCCGGCGGACCGTGCGAGGAACCCACGCGAGATTTTTACGATGGTCCGCAACAGTTGAAAACGCGAGTTTATATTGACAACGGTAACAATATTGCTACCCTGGTTCCAGAGGTTTATTTTTATTATTTGCATTGGGAAGGGGGGAGGAAAAATAAACCTCTGGTTGAAAGCGGCAATTGATTCATTAAGCCGCGCCAATCAGTTTGAATTGGGGTCAGATCCTGACTCTGTCTCCTGATTGGATGATTGTATTAAAGCTCTCTGATTGGTTATGTATGTTCTATTTGAACCAATCAGAGAGCTTTAATACAATCATCCGATCAGGAGACAGAGTTAGGATCTGACCCTAATTCAAACTGAAAATAATAAAAATAAACCTCTGGAACCAGGGTACAATATTGCGCTTGGGCCTTGGCAATTTTTGGCAATTGTAATATTAATGAAAAGTGTAGTAGCATTGAAAATATTTTACTATACAACTGTGCTGCCTGTTTGAGCATATTTTTTCCGTACACCTACTAAATATGATTCGGTAATTTTTTTTTAAAAATCCGCCTACCCGAACGGTTTTTTTCTGCTGCCACTGATGATAAACCTTCGGGGAGTTCTTGTCACAAGTATCACCTTTGACATAACAGAGTGGATCTTCTGTTTGGTTAAGCCATCGAATGCTCATATTGTTTCTCAAGAACCTTCCACTGTCAGTTTCGACGCAAAGGTCCACCACAAGAATAGCTAACCACCAGTACGGGGATGCGCAGTGTTTCAATTCTATTTCAGAACCATCCTCAATAAGTAGAGCGGCGGTCTAGATACTCGAAGATGCGAGTTGAAATTCCGCTCGAGCCAACGAATTTTTCGTTGCCCGATTGCAGTGTCAGATTAATATGAAACTAGTACGGGGATGGTTCCCTCCTTAAATTGTGCCTGATGGCGACGATGTCATTCCTGCGGTACAGAACCCTAACCCGTACTGAATTGCCTCGATTAACGTTGGGCGCATTGACAGTCTGGCATTCTAACACGATGTCCTCCACTTCTTCCGAGGCGGTTACGGCGGATGGTCTCATGCTCAAGGAATATGGAAGGGTTTCTGTGATCTCTTTCGTCTTTGAACGAACGTTTTCTTGTCTTACACCTCTCCCGTATTCGCTAACAAATTCTCGCATTACTTCCTCGCGCCTTTTGTCATCGTCTTTTTCCCCACTTCCCTTACTCGCAACACTTTGGTTTGTTGCACGGGAGGCTATTTTGGGCGGGTCGCTGTTGATAATATCTCAGGGTAAAATGAATTAGATTCACTGAAATACGAAAAACGCTTTTGATATATCCACATCATGTCGTCCTTCACACAGCGAGCTCTCTTGTAGGGATATCCTGCCACGGTTGGCATATCGTGGTCGGCCCTCATGGCTTTGAAAAAACGAAAGCTGTCAAGAAGATTATCACTAGCAGAGGCCGCGGAAGCATTTCGAAAGTGGAGGGGCATTGACCGAAAGGGGCACTTTTGTTTATGACCAGAATCAAACGATTTTATGACGTTCACGAGCCGAACGAAAATTTTTGAAAATATGGAGTCTCTCTAACGTCGGAAATGGCCTTTACAGAGTCTTTACTACTGCGAAAAGGGCATTTTCTTTCCAGAAAAAGAGGGCGTTTATTCAAGAAATACTTTTTCGTTTTTTAAATGGGGCATTTTAGCCCAGAAAAAAGGGCACTTTTTTCACTTTTAAGAAAAGTGGGGGGGCACATGCCCCCATTGCCCCCCCGGTTCCGCGGCCCCTGATCACTAGGACAATGTTTCCGTATTTGGGAAACATGAAATGTTTAACAGGAAATATTTCTGCTTCTCGGAAAACAATTTGTGTTTCTGCAACGATGTTTCCACGGGTGGACAAACACAGAAACACTTGTGGAAACATGGCGAATCACAATGTTTCCGCAACAATGTTTCCTAGTTTGTCCAAGGCTTACGACGCGGACGTGACATAAAAACCGTTGCTAATGTATGGAATCCAGTTTTATTTTTCTTGTTTCACTTACTTGTCTCTGACTTTGTTTACCAACTGGAGGCCATAAACGTTAACGGCGCCAAGATGCAAAGCGCTATAGCGTAACGGTATATAAGAATGTAGAACACCTGCTAGTAATCGGAAGGCGGGCGGGCGCAAGCAGTTTCTCAAATTTCATGTATTTGGACTATTTGCTCATGAAACTTGAAAGAGCCTGAACATATTTCCGGCGTTAAATAAAAGAGGAGATGGTTAACAAAAGTTTACAACAAATAGGTTTTTTTCTAAATTAATAGGACGATGGATTCCAGAACGACCTGGGCTCCGGATTCCAGATTTCTCAGTTATTTGGATTCCGGATTCCACTGTCTTGATTCCGGATTCCAAGACTCTGGATTCCGGATTCCTAAACCAACAAAAAATCGGATTCCGGATTCCGGATTACCTCACAAGGGGCGAAAAGCGATGTGGCCTCTGTTTGGAAGAGAAATTATGTATCCTGAAAGCGAAAGGAAACAATTCACTGAACACGCGATCAGAGTTTTATGCAAAGTGCTGTCACAAGGAAAAATTTAGCGCGTGCAAATTCAAACCGGTGACGATAGACAAACCTCCACGTCAGCGAGCGACCGTTGATATTGACGAATCAAACACTAACTGAATTAATTGCCTGAAGATCGTCTTGAATAAGGCGTGAAACTTGAGTAGCAATAATTAATTTTAAGATATAAATATATATATATATATATATATATATATATATATATATATATATATATATATATATATATATATATATATATATATATATATATATATATATATTCCAAAAGAATATATATACGTTCCAAAAAAGTTTGACCGCATTGGTAAAGCCCATTGTTGTTGATCATTGATGATTAAAATATTTTGCTTATTTCCCTCTTCACTGATGTCATTGCAGACATGAGGACAAAAGATCAAATAATTGAAGCAATTTTGAAAGAAAAATAAAAGATAGTACTTTATAAATACCAATCTATAAGGTAAGCAATTAGGATTGTTTGGAATTATTAGTACAAAGCATTCAAAAACTCATTAATTAATAATTCATGAAGCAATAATCCAATCACAAGGTTTTTTGCAGGGATTTTTTAGGGCCGTTAAACGGCCCCCAAAACTCAATCTTAAATTGAGTTTTGAAACTCAATCTTCTCACCAAAGTTTCAGTGCAGTAAAAATGAAGTTGTTTGAGTTAAATTTCGTACGTGTGGAAATTAGTTTTTAGTTGGAAGCCCAACAATTAAGAGAAAATGGCTGGAATTCATCTCGCAACACAAGAAAAACTATGCATTCGCCATCTTTAACCAGTTTATAGTGTCCCTTAGTGCCCCTGCTTTAACACATTCCATCTCAACTACATTTATTGAGTACAGGTGTCAGCCCCCCGGTAGGAGGGGGGGGGGCGGGTTGCAGCCACCCCAGCTGTTCAGCTAAACTCAATCTTCTCTGCAAAAACGGACCCAAGAGAAAATCCTGAAAAAAACCTGCTTGAGTAAGAAAATAGTCACGTGCATACGTCTTTATACCAGCTAAAGAACAATTTATTATGCAATAATACAAAAGACGATTGTAATGCAAGCTATATAAAGATTTTTATATAAAGCTTTTTATATAAAGATTTTTCATATTCAGATTTGACTTATTATGCAAACGTTTTTGAAGCCACTTAAAAAACTCGCAGGTCCTGCTCGTTTTTTAAATAGTACATCAAGTACTTTATACGTCGAATATCCGTTGAATCGAAAGCAATTAAATTATATTCAAACAATACCTAATGAAGCTTAATGAAGATTATCATCTCATTATCTATTGTCTTAATTTCATTCCACGCGACCGATATTCGACGTATAAAGTACTTGAGTGCTTTCACTAATGCTCCAAACAATCCTAATTGCTTGCCTTATAGATTGGTATTTATAAAGTACTATCTTTCATTTTTCTTTCAAAATTGCTTCATTGTCCTCATGTCTGCAATGACATCAGTGAAGAGGGAAATAAGCAAAATATTTTAATCATCAATGATCAACAACAATGGGCTTTACCAATGTTGGCGATATCTGACCTAAGTTGTAATTGAAATTCAAATTGAACTCCTTCTGTTGTATGGGTTTTTGTGCATGACGTAATTGAGTGAATGCAAATGAGAACATCAAAGGGCGCGGAAAAATGCGAGAAACGAGTAAAATGCCCGGCAGTGTTTTATTATACGACAAACATAAAAATATATAGATTTCTTTGTTTTTTTGAAGGATTTGCATGCGTTTAGCACTGTGAACGGCAAATAATTTCAGATTTTCAGATGCAATGAAAACAAACATCCTGAAACAGGTTAAAAAGTTGCATACAAAAATAGGAACAACTTAACACTGACGTCATTGTTCTTAAATTTGATTGGATAAAATATCACAAATAAAATGTATATATAAATAAACATTTATATATACATATATACAGATATATATCTGCCACAAATAAACAAAAAAGGTGTTTTGAGTTGATTGTATAAATCTGCCGAATAAAAACGGTGAATTAAAGCCCCGTTTACACTACGCTCAATTTTTGGTA